GAGCACTCAGCCTCCAGCCCCTCAGGGTGATAGCAGTCCTGGGTTATTTGAAGATCCCATGTTCTATGTTAAATAAATTCTCTTTATCATTTGTTTGATGATATCTTACTATTAACTATTATTGATTTTTTTCCTCATCTACTATGATTTATTTTTCAGTTTGTTAACCTAATTGCCAAATGCTTAATGAGTTTGGCATTCCCAGATAAACCCAAGTTCTCCTCTTAGATGCTGGCTGAATAAATTGGCCATTTCTGGATTTTGTGTCTATGGTCAAGAAGCTTATTGGTTTAAAGTTTTATTTTCTGATATCTGTCTTACTTTGGTGAAAGGGTAAAGCTGGGGCCATCGAACAAATTGGGAAATCTCCCTACATTTCAAATGACAATGTAACTCACAGAGTGTTCACTGTGTTCAAAGTGCCATGTTTGGTGTTTTGTTCAGGCTTCACGTCAACCCTACAGCACAGGGACTGTCACCATCACTGCTCCATTTTTAAAGAGAGGGCAACTGTAGCACGGAGAAGTTAATGTCACTTGTCCATAGCTGCACAGGGGATGAGCATCAATGCCATGGCATAGAATCCCAGAGGCTCAGGCCCCACATTTCCACTCTTAGTCTGCTTACTCCACCTTCTTTGATCAAAACTGTTTGTGGTTTAAAGAGAATACTTCTGCAGGGTCCAGCACAGTCACCGGGCGACTCGTATATTTACCTTTGATAAATAACCATGGTAACTATGGTGTGTCGAGCTCCCTCCATCTTATCCCAGCCATCAGAGGCAGGTCTTTTCACCCTCGCTACTCAGCTATGAAAACCTTCCTTCCTGTAGGGTGGGAGCCATCGCAAACTATCATCTCCTTCCTCACCCCGCTTTCCTTCATGTCTGGGACACTTTTCAGGAAGCAAAACAACATTGTGGTGTGCCTTCCTTATCAGGGGAGCTCACCTTTCACCCCCAGGCATTCAAGTTCATAGCTTCCTCCCTCTTCTGCCATTTCTTTATAGGACCTCGTCTCTCCACTAAGCCAATCAGCATTAGCTCCTGTGTCTCGAGAAGTAAGAAACCACTTTCTCACTTAAAAAGGAGTGAGGACTTACTAGACCTGGATGGAGGTGGGTGGTCCTTGGACTTCCCACAGGGCAGGGAACCCTGATTGCTCTTTGGGCTGACGAGGGAGGGGGACTTGATTGGGGGAGGGGGAGGGAAAGGGGAGGCGGTGGCGGGGAGGAGGCAGAAATCTTTAATAAATAAATAAATAAATAAATAAATAAATAAATAAATGATAAAAAAAGAAAAAAAGGAGTGAGGAGAGAAACATGAGGGTTTATGAAGGGCAGGGGCACTGATATTCTTTGATAACCACGGTTAGTTAAAATGGCTTTTCTGGTGGAAGGAAGGAAACACAAAGCAACAGAGAGAGCAGGTGCATTTGTTCTGGTTTGGCTCTATGGGTGTGGGGCATATGTGGTGCTTCTCTGCATCTCAGTTTACTCAGCCTTAAAATGGGTTCAAGATGCATGTGTAGGTCATAGGAAGGTAGTAGACACGAAGCGGCAGCATGTGGGTGAAAGGATCTGCTGTGGAGAAGGCACTGAGGAACATGTGCTTCTCTCGGACCACATGTTCTGAATGTTTTGTGGCGTGAGGTTTTACTACACTGCCTAAGCTGGCCTTCAACTTCTCATCTTAAGAAATCCTCCTGCCCTAGCCTTCTGAATAGCTAAGACCATAGGTATGACTTGAGCTATTTTTATATAGGGAGTATCTGAATTAAGAGACGCTTCTTGGGGAGGTAATTGTGTATGACTTCTACCCATTTTACTGATGGGGCAAACTGTGGAACTGCCTGCCTACAGATTCCGAAGTAGCTAGCTCTGCCGGTTACTTCATACTGGAATTCCTTGGACACATGCCAGGCCTGTTGCACTGGACCACACAGGCAATTACTTAAAGTGAGGGGATGGACCACATGGCTTTTTTCAAGCCCTTTCTTCCAACCTAGGGGTGTGTGTGGCCAGAGACACCTGCCACTTTCCTGTAATTGCTGGATCCTTCTTGGCAAGCACCCAGGCATTCCCTACCCGTCTCTCCATTTCCACTCACATCGCTGACAGCTCTTTCGGGGGAGGGGCTGGAAAACTTGGAGTGAGTTCACTGCTGGGAATAGTGATTCAATTAAAATCTCAGTTTTCAACAATACTAGCAAGGCGGGTTGCTATGGCACACCTCACACGGCTGTGTCTCTCCATCAACAGAGGTGACGGGGGCTTGCTGATTGATGGTGACTATAAGATGAGGCCATCGTGGTGAACTCTCAAGGCTAGAGTGTCAGGCTGAGTGCACCTCCCGGACCCTCTGCTGGCTCCCCAATCATGTTGAGCAGCCCCTTCTCCTGGCAAGCCCATGGGATAACAACTATAACCGCGGTCACACAGTGTCAGTCAGTGCCAGTGGCGGCCACCGAGCTGCATGCTTAATCACCTCCTCACCTTCACCAAAGCTGCCATTTAACACTACTGCCCCAGGGATAGCGACTCTCATAATGTCCATTTTATAGAAAAAAACTGAGGCACAGAGCCCCCCACACCACCTGACACTGGGGGAGGCTGGGTTAATAGTCTGCACTCTCATTTGCTGGGATATGTTTGTTCCCCTGTGCGGCTTCAAAACAGTGATCCCCAACCTTCCTTATGCTGAGACCCTTTAACAAAGTTCTGCATATTGTGGTGACCCCCCTACGGTAAAATTATTTTTGTTGCTACTTCATAACTGTAATATTACTACTATTATGAATCATGATATAATTATCTGTGCTTTCTGATAGTCTTAGGTGACCCCTATGAAAGGGTCATTTGACCCTCCAAAGGTCGAGAACCCACAAGTTGAGAACCACGGCTTTACAAGAATAACAAGGACCCTGCCTTTGAACCAGCCTTCCAGGTTGCTAACAAAAATGCTTTTGGCTCATGGGTTGGGTGAGACTGATCTCCTCTTCAGTCTTCTCCAGGAACTTGATCCTTCTGGTTCCATTGGCTGCCTCTAAAGGCATATGCTTCCACTGTGAGTTCCCCTGAAGACCCTTGGGAGCCCTTTGGCACATTCTTAGTGTTTTTTTTTTTTCAGTAGGTGGTCAAAATTGTTAGCTAAGTCTGTAAACACATGCACACCATCTAAGTTCAAATCTCAGCCCTTCTCTCTCTTAAATCCCTAAGTCCTGGACTAAGCCTACGCCAAGCACAGTGCCTAGCATACAGTGGGTGCCGCAGCTATGGCTGGGAAAGACTGCAGCTGTTCAGGAGAGCTAGACTATGAAGGTTCAAGACACTTTGACTTGAGGTCACTGACAGTCTGAGCAGTCCCGTTCTCCTAACCTCACGTCCTGTTTTGGGCTCTTGGAGGTCATCCTCTTTGTCTTTGCAGCACTGCCCCATAGAATTTGTAGAAAAAAATGCCTGAGAGAGTGAGTGGACAGCACGCGCAGTGGGGAGGTCAGGAAGGGGGTTCATTGCGCTATGATAGGGGTGCTGTCAAAGAGGGGCTCTGGTTCTTCACTTCAGCAAGCATCACACATATCCAACCCCCTCAGAAATTCAACTCCCAATAGGGAGCTCTGGGAACAGACTCTGGGGGGCAGGACGGGGAGATGCAACCTGAATGGAAATCAATTTCAGCTCCAGGTAATTACAGGAGTGCCCTATCTGGTAGGGTACATCAGAGGTGGAGCCCCTCTCCTCAGGAGGGATAAGTTAGGGGGAGAGTTTGCCTTCACCGGGGACCACAGGAACCCAGGTAGGGAAACTTGTGCTTGTCTGTGCTGGTTAACTTGGGAGTGGATTCCCTAAATGTTTGAGGAAAGGATCTTGGAAGACTAAAGCCCAACCTCTCAGTATCCTAAGATGCTCAAGTCCTCAGAACAGAGACGCCAAGTGGTGGAGGCTGAGATTCTCTCTCGGACAGGGTTTTTTCTCTTTCTGTCTCTAGCCCTCTCTTCTGCCTGCAGGTGACTCCAGGAATGTACATGCCATTGTGTGGATGACAGGATTATCCAAAGACCCAAAGCTGAGGCAACCTCCCCTCTGTTTTTCCTGGATCCAGTTGTTCTCCCACATAGTCCAGGCAGACACCCATCCCTTCTCCCTCAGCAGCTCATCTCTCTTCAGGAATTCACTACAAGTCTCAGCTTCACTTTCCAGAGGACATTAAGATGTGAGACCAGCCAGCTACTCATCTGCCTCCCTGGGAGCTGCCCTAGAAGGGAGGACTAGGGTTGACCTGGAGGTAAAGCCAGAGGAGACAGACATAAACTCAAGGAGACTGTCGTGCCCTGAGGTGGCAGTCCTGGTAGCCAGTGCACTTCGCTGAACAGTTGCCCCATCCATTCCATACCAAGGGGCACTCCTTGACTCTTCCTGGACATAAAGGGATACCTTACTCCCTCAGGGAAGATAGCGGATAGCAAGGTCTTATCCCATTGTTCCTTGAACTCGAGTGGCCAGTATCAAGGTCTCCGAAGCATTAGGCGGGGAGATACAGAAGGATAGGGTGGCAGAAGTGTTCTCAGTGAGGTGATAGTGTGGGGGAAAGGTAGGGGAGGGGCCTTTCTTAAGCTTTCTGCCCAGAAGCTGCAGTTAAGTCTCACACAGCCCTTCTGGGACCCCTCGGGGACTCGACGAGAGAGAGAGAGAGAGAGAGAGAGAGAGAGAGAGAGAGAGAGAGAGAGAGAGAGAGAGAATAGAATACGGGCGCGCTTTGGAGTGACTGCACACTGCACACCCACAAGTCAAAATGCCCCGGCGCCACACAAGCACTGTCCCCACCAAGCCACGCGACATCCTTTCATGCTGATCTAAAAACCTCCACAGTTGCCACCAAGGTTTAAACTTTGTTATTTTTCTAAGCGGGCTCCAGGGCACTTCCCGAGAAGGTGTCTGGGATCCCGTAGGTTGCCACAACTTGGGGCTCCCGGCTTCCCTCCTTCTCCCTCAGGTCCCCTCACCTGGTAATCCGAGACACAGCAAAAAGCTGTAGTAGACCACCGGCACGAAGCCCAAGCCGCAAGCCGAGCTGTTGGCGGCGAGGTGGGCGTGCGTGTGCTCCATGAGCGCGCCCCTAGCCGTGCTGGACTCGACACAGCTGCCAAGCTGGTGGGGACCAGGTAGCAGCTGGGGCGGGATCCCGGATCGCCTCACGGCGGGACCCACTTGCACCCCTGGCCGTTATCCTCAGCCGGCTCGGCACCTGCCTTCCAGGATCCGCAGCTCCGCTCTCTAGCAGGGCGCAGGGGACGCGGGAGGGGCTCTCGGATCCGGAGTGTGCACCTCCCTCCAAGGACCGCTCAGCTCCCGCCTCAAAACCCCGGCCCGGACGCCGCTGTCCGCAGCCAATCAGCAGCCGCCTGCATGGTGTCTTAGTGTGTGTGTGTGTGTGTGTGTGTGTGTGTGTGTGTGTGTGTGTCCACGAGCGCGCGCACGCGCTGGGGGTGGGGGCATCGGGTGGGACGTTCCAGCAGAGCCGGGTCCCAGCAGCGTTTTCTAGCTCCAGTTTCTTGAGGAAAAGACCAGGTTAACTTGGGAAACCCAGAGGAAAACTGGGATGGAGAACAGGCTACCCTGGGTTTCAACCCTTGTGGGAGAGGCGTGGTGTGGAAACGACCTGCTTCTTTCTTAGCCCTGTTCTTTACCCCTCTAGCTTGTCCTCAGTTTTCCTTTTGACACTCCTCCCAGCTGCCTATCCCCGATCCCTGCCAAAGCCTTTAGTCCATCTTCCTGTAGAGGATTCTACATCCCAGGGATGGGGGATGGGGTCGCGACTGTTGGAGCCTAGAGAATGTTTTTTTTTTCCTCCTCCTTCTTCTTCTTTTATTTTTCATTTATTTATTTAATTTTGCTTGCCTGAATCAGAGGGCTGAGCTTGTGGGTCTGAAGGAAGACTGTGAACATCTTTGCGTGTGCCACCAGGTAGATGGTGCTGTCCCTGAACTTGGTAGAGATGCAGGATGGCTAAGAGAAGCCGTCCACACAGCCTTCAGCCTGGAATAAAACGTCGCAGCCACTGAGACACACATTCACCCACATGCACACAAAGGCACACAATGGCCAGCCATGCGGGTGCACTCGCTCACACACTCACGCACGCGGATGCTCTCATCTTCCACACCTAGCTCGACTGGTGAAAACGTGCAGACACCCTCATCAATATGCAGGAGGGCGCAGCAGGCTCAGGCGGAGCCTCGAACAAGTACACAAATGCATGGAGGGGGCTGGGAGGTCTGAAGTGTTTGAAGGTTGTGTGAAGGAGAGTATGGGAAGAGCAGGTGGGATCCCTGCAGCGGAGGTGTGCCCCCTTTGCAGGAGAGGCAGGCAGAGCGCTCAGAGAGCTTCACTTGTCAAGGGTACCCAAGATTCAGCTCGGGAGAGACGTCTGCCCCAGGCTCAAGTGCAAGGCTTTCCAGGAGCGAACTGAAGCAGATGCAAGCGAGGGGCGTGTGGCTGGCTCTAAGATGTTGGAGACACCTTCTCCCTCCCTGCCCCGCCAATACACACACTCCTCCCCTAACATCTGTTCTGGAGAAAAGGAGTTGGCTGAGCTTCTGGATATCCAGCAAGGGCCCAGTGTCCTGTCTCCACCTCTGTTGGGAGCGCCCCCGGGCAGTGAGTGGAGGAGGAGAAGGCTAAAAATCTAAAGTTGTGGAGGGATCTGCTGGCCTCAGCTGGGTCTGTGGTGGACAGACAGGCACCCAGACCCTAAAAGGACAAGGCTGTTACTGAGTCCTGTGGGTACTCTTAAACCCAGTCTGATATTTCAAGCTCCATTAGATAGATATAAAAAAAAAGTGACCTTTTTTGCTGTCTAACTTTTTGTTTTATTTGTATTCTCGATTGACACACAGCGTCATGCATATTTCTGGGGGTGTGATGATATTTGGATTCCTGTATTTGATGTGTAATGACCAAATCAGCGTAACTAGCATACTTGTCACCTTAAGCATGTCATGTTTTTTGTGGGAGTACACTCAAAATCCTCTCTTGGGGTCAGGCGTGTTGCTTAGTTGTCAGAGCGTTTGTCTAGTAAACATGAAGCCCTGGCTTGGGCCAGCAGTGGCACATAAGACCTGGCTCAGAGGTTCAAGTCTGCAGTCCCAGTATTGGGAAGTGAGGACAGATGGATCAGAGATACAAAGGCATCCTTGGCTACAGAAAATCCTCTCGTAGTGATCCTGAATGTGACTACCCTTCCCATAAAAGTCTAAAGAACACAACAAAACACCTCTATGGTGCTAGATAAAGTAGCCCCCAATTGCTGCAAAAGGTCAACACATAATTGCTGTAAATCTAAAGACTGGATTAGCCTGTAGACGGTGCTGTATTGAGATGAGAGGCTGGGGTGGGGGAATAGGTGTGGTCTGGCAAAACCGCCAGCCTCTTCTCTTCAGAGGTCCCTACAAAAAAGCCCCAGAGCTTTGCATAGGCTGGGATGTTCTTCTGGAAGCTTCTGCCTCCTCACCTCTATGTCGCCTCACTCACAGCTCACACTGTCTCCTCAGACTTCACATTGTCTCTCATTGGCAATCCTACTTAGGATTGACATCTCAATTATTCTCCACCCCAAATCTTGCACTCCTTCCGTCCTCCTCCCCGAAGGCTTAGCACCATCATCCTACCACATAGGATCTGATTTGTCTTGTTTCTTGTCCATTCCTGCCTTGGAAGCTCAAGGCCTTTCAAAGTCTTTGGGGTTCCAGTTGTATCCTCAGTTTTTCACTGCAAGCCAACAGTGCATTGTCAAAACCCATGGGAAGAATGAAATCTGCCACACCCACTGGTGGAGGCTGTTGAGCATGAATTTATCTTTGCTTTTGCAACACAGATGGGTTGGTGCTGGAATTGGGGACCCAGCAGTAGATTTAGCATACAATGATCATATTTGATGACACTTTCAAAACTATTCAAATTCTAAGGCCCATTGTTAGAAACCCCTCATAGAACCTGGGTAGGCAGAGGACCTGCACGGCATGGGGAATACTGAAGGACCTAACATTGGTTTCTTCATTTGTAAAATAGGATGAAACAAAGTAGGAATGCTGTTGTCCCTGAATATTGTTGTCTCTCTGTGCAGAAATAGTGAGAGTGTGATGGGAGAAGGGTAGACTACAACCCCAAGTGATGGAGGAGTTACCCTCTATCACCTGCTGCCCCCTTGGGACACTTGGCAACTGGCTGGTTATAGTCTGTTTCTTGGGGGAATGCATGTCTGCATGAAAATGTGTTCAAGGTTTTGAGTCTGGCTTTGAATGCTCTCAGTCTTAGGGGAAGTATATGGTGAGTTCCCACAGTCTACTTGAGTTGGGTGTGGTGGAGGGAGCATGCCTGTAATCCCTGTACTGGAGAGGCTGATGCAGAAGAGTTGTCAGTTAGAGGTCATCCTGGGCTACATAGTGAGATCCTGTTCCCCAAAGAAAAACCTAATCCCTCAAGGTAGAATTTGCTCCAAAACTGACTCTTTTGGCCAGCTCTAAAGGACACAGGCATGTGTGGCATGATACAAAAGGGTGGGGACATCCATCCATTCCAGCTTTCAGTAGACTTTTCATAGCTCTTCACGTGTGCTGGTTAGAGCCCAGTGCTAAAGAAAATGTGACATCCTATGTGCAGAAATTATTAGGTTTTTAAAAACGTCAGTAGCAAAGCTTTAAACTGACTATGGCACTCTTGTTGGTGTGGGGTCCTGGGTAACCACATGGGTAATACATCTTGCTTGTGACTGGTCCTGCCGACAGTGCACAGATGTGAGTGTTGTGGTCCGATTTCCTATGTGTTGAGGGCTTATCAACACATAGGCATCTGTCTGAAAAGTCATCCCTATAATCACAGTGCGAAGGAGGGGAGTGTTGAGCTCTAGTCCACAAATGAGAAAATTGACCCAGAGAAGTTCAGTAATGTTGTGGAGACCTCCTGATTGGGAGTTGGCCCAAGATACTCTGATACCTAAGTCTATGCTAAAGTTTCTGGGGGTACTCAGGGTGGTGCAAGCATAGGCACAAAGGGGGATTGTCATTCTGGCATGCAGCTCTTGTGAGTCTCTGTCTGTCTTGTCTTCACTTGAATTCTCAATACAGCATCAGACAAGTGTCCAGAAATAAATTCAGAATGAATTCCTAAGCAACGGCAAAAGGAATATAGGCATAATATCAGAGTGGGAAGAGAGAACCCAGTGTCAGCACGTCCGGTGGATAGTGACCGCCGGTGAGGCAGAAACACTCCTCTTTCCTCTCACAAGGAAGTGTGCTGCCCCTCATGTTACTGAGAGCTCTGGGCCATCTCCATCTAAACCCCATTGCTCTGCCTGTCGGTAGATGGAGATGATCTGAAGGACAACTCTTTAACAGAAACAGCAGCACAAACACAAGTTAGCTCAACGAAGACTTAGAGCTGGGAACACAACAGGGAGTGGTGGGGGTCGGAGCAACTCAGAAATGCGTGTGCTGGCCGCTGTAATGGGTTCTGAACAGTCATTGTTTAAAAAAGTTAGAACGGTCTCTGTACTTTCAGCGATGAGAATCCATGCATCGCTCATAAAATTGGACTAACTGGAGCTGTCGTAACCCTTCCTCTGTTTCCTCCTTACTTTAGAAGACTTCTCCTAAGGCTCACTCCACCTGGAAGCCTTTCCCGTATGCCCCCTTTCTCCCTGACCCAGACCTCCCTCCTCTATGGCATCTCTTACCACACCATGTCAACACAAGGAGGTTGTCTGTCACCAGCCCTTTCAGATTCAGATTACCATCTGGCCAGGGTGTACTGTTTTATTTCTGACTCTTTGACATAAGGTCTACTCGCGGCGTGCCCTGTGTCATTATCAGACATAGGTTTGACGCCCTGCTCAGTTCCCTCATAACTGCATGTGTCTCAGTACCCTCTTGAGGGGATTGTTAGAGAAGGGCTATGACAGCTCCAGTTAGTCCAATTTTATGAGCGATGCATGCATTCTCATCACTGGAAGTACAGGAATTTGCTTGATTTGAGCCTGGTAGATTCTTGTTTCTTTCTATGGGCAGACTCTGCTTCCCCAGGATTAACCACACTCTTAGCAGGTGCTTAGAGCATAATGATGGGATAGACACCAGCACCCCGGGTCTGCCCTGCTGGCTTAATAACTGAACTGAAAGAGGATTTCAGCGAAAGTCCCCGGGAAAGCTCTCTGTGTTCCAGCCTGGTTGAGAGCTCGTCTTATCCCAA